AAAAGAGCAAAGATAACCCTGCCCTCCAGGTCCTAATCATCAAGTATCCGATGGGTTTCTTCAGGACGGGTAACGTGAGGGACCCTAGGAAGGGTTAAAGACTGTATTCAAAGCTACTTCTACAGCTGACTATGACCTTGGTCCAGGTCTCAAACTCCTTTCAGTTTCGGTTGCATCACTTACAATCTGGCCTCCCTGGGCAGGTGCACACATTCACACACAGGCACATACACACACACAGGCACAAGCACAGATAAAAGTAACCAAAACAAAATAATCCCCAGGGGCAGGCTAGATGGTTCAGCATGTAAACCGTATGGCCTGAGTTTGATTCCCAGGGATCAAAAGGTGGAAGGAGAGAAATGGCACCCTAAGTTTGTACTTTGACCTCCACTTACATCACACACACACACACACAAATGAATACTTACATACATACGCATGTAACTACAAAAACAAATAGGGAAAAATCTCTCCAGGTGATTCCAATGTTCTGAACTACAAAGACACTGGACTTTTCACACCTGACCTCATGGGTGAGGAACCTTGCCTGGCTTTCCTATCCCAGCAAATGGCATCAAAGGACAATCACAAAAGCCAGCTCCTATAGGACCTGCCAGGGTCCCCCAAATGCCATTCTCCAAACTCCTATGGTAAGGTATCAGCCAAGCAGAAAGAAAACCATGAACATATACTCGCTGCGGCCTGGGGGTGAGATATGGTCATAGTCAACGAGCCGAAGACCCAGCACCCCCAAGTGAAAGGTAAATGGACTCGTGCCTCATCTTTTACAGTCTCCTTAATTACCTGAAAGAAGAATAGGCCGTGCTCCAGAGCAGGCTGGAAAACCTTTCATCTCTCCCTCAAGGCTCCCCCAGGGAGTCGCAACAGGTTTTCTTAAATGTATGAAAGGATCAGGTCTAGGAATGCTATCTTTAATTTACCATCCTCTAAGGGACATGAACTGAGAAGCAAAACAAACTTGACAATGGCCCTTTACAGCTTTAAACGCAGACAAAAATGAAGACCCTGCCGGCAAAGTCGTGTGGGCACTGGCTGGCCTGGGAGGGCACCAATGCCTCCCTCAGGGAGTCAGCCACTTTCAGGGAGCATTTCCTCACTGGCCAGGGTGTGTCCCCAGGGCTTAAGAGAATCCCTCCCTACAGGCTGGCATCTCATATTTCCTAATGAGTTTCTCCAAGTCCTGGTCTGCGGATAGCAGGAGATGTCTTTTCCATGAGGTGATCCACGGAGGTGTAGAATTAACGCAGCTGGGTCTTCGGGGGCCAAGAGCATTGGAGGACTCACTTGTGGTAAAGAGGTGGGAAGGATTGGAAGGGACCTTACAGAAAGTAACCCAGGCCAGCTGGAAAAGAGGGGGACCGTGGAAACACACGTGCAGGGTCACAGTGAGAAGGAACAGGACGGCAGCCAATGCATTCGGAGTCGGTTCTCATGGCTGCACGTGGGGATGCCCGTACTCTGAGTGGGAGTCTGCGTTCAGCATGGCACCTGGCCTAGCGGTCAGTCAGCCTCAGGATGTAAGGACAAGCGCTGAGATACGAGGCTTGCCCAGTCACGAGTCCCCAGAGGAAGAGGGCAAAGAAAAGCAGTTACCCCATATGTAGTGCCACCGAGTGTGTTTTTAGGTTGGATGCGTGTTAGAGGAAAAAAAAAAAACAACAGCTCATCAAACCTGTAGTTTCCCAAAAGGCAAAGGTTACCGACAGGTCGAGCTAAATGAATCAAATGGTTGAATACATCAAATGCTAACAGTCCAGGTGGCATAGAGCTGTGCCAAAGACCACAAAGGGGTGTTCCTAAGAGGAGAGGTACTGAAGAAATTAGTGGGAATTCCGGCCCGCAGTGATGACGTCATGTTGAACCCCCTGCAGGATGTCAGAGAGAGAGAGGCGTGTGAGTCCAGGAGGGTAAGAGCAAAGGACAGTGATCTGAGGGCTTTCTGGATACATCCCAGAAAGGCACCCACAGCAGGCGCAACAAGGATGACCATCTCCAGATGCGGATTGTACACCAAATGGTGTCGGAGAAAAACGTGTTTGAAAAACCACTCAAACTTGGCTTTGGAGGAAAATCTAAGGCAAAGGTTAATGACCACGCTGAACCAAACAAACTCTAGACAAGTGCCATCAAGACCCCACTGAGACCAGGCCATGGAGTTGAAGGCTTGCTTTCACTGTTATAATTCACTTCCTAGATCTCAGACCCAAGATCCAAGCCAGAAGCCAAGCTGCCTGCTCAGTCGGGCTCTAGATCACCCCAGAATTTGGAAGCATCCAGTGAAATGGGAACAGGTGAGGGGTTGCAGAATCAGAAGGGTAGGCAGACAGCGATCCTCAAGAGTCAGGCTGGGTATGCCTCAAGGGTGCAGATCACACGTGGGGAGCCCTCTGCTTCCCGGGCGTTAAAGATCCCCACTCCTTAAAGATCCCCACTCCACTCCCCGTCATGCACACCCTTCTCCCAAGATTTCACATTTCTGAGGAAAGGAAAGAGGGAAAGTCAGCCCGAATTCATTGGTGATGCAAATGAAGCCCATTGTGAATGCTAAGTGCACTTCCAGGAAACCAAGGTGGAAGGGCTGTTTACTCCAGCCCTGGTGATGCTGTCGCCACGCCATGAAGCACAACCTCCAGTCAAGCTATTAACTTGAACGTTGAACTTCACAGCCTGGCTGTCTTCCTCAGCCTTCCTTTTGATGTTACCTCCAAAGCAAAAGATCAAAGGCTTTGAGTGTGGTGAGGGGAAGTCCCAAGCTCTTAGCCTAGCAGCCTCTGATATATGTTAAAATCCTGGCCAAAAGAAGAGCAGGCAGGAGAGGGAACCAGCTCCTGAGAGGCCTGGGGCGGGCAGGCGGGCGAGCAGCTCACAGAACAAGGCCAGGGAAGGAATGAGGTCACCCATGACAGAGACATCAGGGATATATATATATATATTGCGGGTGCTTGGAACTCACGATGCCCCCGAGAAGGCATCAGTCTTGCCAGATGTCATGCATTCTCACAACTCACCCCTACCAGAGCCAAGCCCTGCTCCGAAAGGGCCTTTAATTCACCATGAACCTCCACCCATCACCCAAGAAACTGGAGGGGACTGGGGAAGTGGGTGTCTGCTGGTCCTGAGTGCCAAGTGGGAAGCTTGACTGAGTAATTAGAGCAGGTAGCACACGGCGACGGAGACGCCCGCGCTGTGGAAAAGGAATGGAAGTCTAAGATCACACAGCCCCGGCCTCAAGCTTCGTTGGGGAATAATGAAGTCCCTTTCCCTTCCTTCTGAGGTTGTACCACGTCTAGGGTGGGAAGGAAGGGGGCGGGGAAGCCCTGATATTGGCAGGCACAGGGGCCCAGCTCAGCAACAGGGAAATGTGGCCAAGGGTGGGCAGAGGCCAGCAGCTGCATAGGGTTTCCAGCCACGGGGCAGACTTGGAGCCTTTTACTCCACGATTCTGTCCATATGCTACGAAAGGATCATGCACAGAGCAACACCTCAGATGCCCGCAGCCTATGCTTTGGATGAAGGCTCAAACAGAAAAACCAGTCTGAGGTGATCTGTCTCCCCTGACAAAGTGCTGGGACAGTCCTTCATCCAGACCCCCTCACCGTGGTGTAGGCGGAGGTCTGTGCACTCTGAAGCTAGCCCGATAAGCAAAGAGATGGGAGACGGGTACTCCGTCTTTGGCATTTTGTTCTGTCTGCCCCCACCATTCAACTGTGCAGAGCGGGCTCCAGAGGACTCCAAAGCGCTCCACCCCAGGCTCTGCCTGTTGACACCCTGGAGAATGGGCTGGAAACACAAAACCCAAAGTTTCAACTGAGCAAACAAAACAAGCCTATCTCTGGCCCCTTTCCACGTTTAGCAACAGAAATTTGGCTAAAGGGATAAAATGGAGAAAATTCTTGTGGGACGACTCTCGTTATGGACAGAGTGTGCTGTTTCCCAAGTTGACTCCCCTTCTGGGTTCCATTTTATTTCTTACAATAAAAGTCTCTCAAAAGGAGTCAGGCCCTGAGGGCCAAATTTATCCTCATTCTCTGCAAATCTCTTCCTCCAGGACACCAGTAGAACCTGCTTCCTCGCCTGCTGTCCCGGCCCAGCCATTTCCTATTGAGCCCTCCTCCTCCTCCAGCCTCTGAAGACAGCCTGCACCGGCTTGGCTACTGTTCTTGGACAGCTACATTTGGTAATTAGACAGTGGTATACGGCCCACGTGCCTGAAGGAAAAGAGCTACACTGAAGAGTTGCCAGCCACGGACTTTTGTCCTTCCCAGCTCACCTTGCGCCTCTCCTCTCATCCTCCCTCTGCCCAGGCATCTCTGGGTAACGCGACCAAGGCTGAACCTCTCCCCAACCCTCCAGGAACTCCTAGGGCAAGCCTGACTCCTAGGACAGGCATGGCAATTCCCCGTCAAAGCTTTGTGCAAGCCCAGAGGTGCAAGCCCAGAGGCAGGGAGGGCAGCAGGGAGAGAGCGTGCACTCATGAACCAGTGCTCCGCTGGGTCCCCCAGGAGTAAACGATTTCCAAAAGACAGAGCGGGGAGCCCCGCCGGCCACCCCTATGATGAACACAGGAGAAAATTAAAAAGTAGAGAGATGCTACTCCTACACAGTTAACCTTATGGCTGGGAACAGCAGCAGACTCACCTTCGGCCCCGGCCCCGGCCCACCCTAATAACCTGCCTTTCTCCCCCAAAACAGCACCAGGACTCACACCGTTACAACAACTGTTGGGACAGAGGAAGGACCGTGCCCCCGGCAACTTCACAATGCACCATCAGACAGATTGGATAACGGGGCCAGATCGTGAGCAACACAATACCAGCTCAAACACTGAGATCCCCACCCAGCCACCCACCTACCCGCTCATCTGTCCACCCATCCATGCATCTGTTGACTCATCACTCCCCCACCTGCTCATCTATCCCTCACCCACCCACCCACCTACCCACTCATCATCCACTCACTCACTCACATATCCACTGGCCCACTCAGCCATCTACCCACTCTTCCAGCTAGGGTTGACTCAACAACGTCCAGGGACCAGGAAGTACGTCCAGAGAATCATCAGACACCCTCTGCCCACGCCCCCCCACCTCCCACCTCCTTCCCGCCTCCACTTCCCTGACAACACAAGCTATACACAGAGGACGTCTCCTGAGACCAAGGAGCTCCACTTTGCGAAGGCCTCCCTCCTGACAGTGCACTCCAAATACCGTGTGGGAAGTCCCATGTCTGTTGTCTGCAGATGTGGTAAGTCGTGGCGGGGAGAGGAGGCATGCCATCCCAGCTCTCCACAGAGGAGCCTTGCTGGAAGAAGAGGGGTCTCTGAGAGGGGAATTCCTCCACTGCAGCCAGCTGCCATCTCTGGCTGATGACCCTACTAACCTCTTGATCTGAATAAAAACCCGGGGCCCTAAAGCCATCCTTCCGACTGTGCCTTCTGCAGGGAAAGGAGAAGCAGAGAGCTGTACACCCTGGCTTCCACGCCCACCAGCAGCCCATCACACCTTCTTCCTGAAATATAAACAGCCGTGTCCTCCTATCTGTGTTTTCCCATCTTCTGAAGTTTCAATGCCCCCCCAATCAATCAGCCATGGTCCAAAAGTATTAAGTGGAAGATTCCAGAAATAAATTCTAAGACTTAAATAACGTTTATTGCAGGGGTTTGTTATAATTATTGTCTCGCTGTTGTTGCTCTGGACCTGCTGCCACACCTTAACTTGTGAGTTAAACTTTACCAGTTGTGCATTATAGGGAACAGAGAGCAGTTGCTTGTGCGTTTAGCGCTTTAGAACTAGGCATAGACTCAGGCACACACGGGAACATGCACCCCGCAGACAACAGGACAGGTGTGTGGCTCATCTGGGGTCTACAGAGACCCTTCCATCATCCCAGAACCCCTCGGTTCCCAACTCCTGACCCAAAGCTCCCTGCCAGACTCTTCCTGCTCTTTTGGAGCCTCCCTTTCTCTGAGCAGAAGTTCAAGCAAGGTCTCTTCCATAAACTGGTGGGATGACATCTCATCCACGAAGGACCCAGCATCTGACAGGTCTTGGGCGACCTACTTCCCCTTTTCCACACAATATTTTAAGTTTCCAGCCTGGAAAATCCCAACAGTACCAAGGCCTTGGCTAGGTCTTTTCAGTCTTGGAAGGTAGGTAGATAGTTTCCCTGCTCGCACGGAGCTGAGTCATGGGGCCTGTTACCAACGGCGTACGTTGGCAGCTTCTCCGTACCAGATGCAGAGCCATCTAAACATGGGATGCACCGCCACCTGTGTCCAACAGGACTGGACTTCCAAACCTGGTGCTGACGCTTAGTACCCAAAGGAGCTCTTGCAGACTCCCCCATGGAAGTTTCTCGTTTGATGGGAACCTCAGCTCTGGACCTCAGAGACACAAGAGACCACTGCTGTGCTCAGCAGCCCAAACAATATAGGTTATCTTGACAGATGAGCCCCTTTCCCTCCTCCGCTTATCCGCGAAGCATTTGGTGAGTTACGAGAAAGGAGACTAAAAGCAACCAAGCAAATGGTTCTGGCTGGGAATGGGGATCAGAGAGGCGAGAGAGAAGAAGAGGGGTAAGGAACGATCACTACTCCTGAGCCCAAAAGCAACTCAAGAGTTCAAGTGCAATCGCAGAGGGCCATCCCCATGCTGTGCCAAGGCCGGGGGGAGAGCTCATCACCAAACAGGCACAACTGGCACCACGTGGGTGGCTGGACACAAATGTCCTGGCAGCCAGGGGATCTCTAGGGGCAGAGAGGTGAGATCTTACAGAGAAAGGACATCAAAAGAAGCCCCAAATGAAGACCTGATTGCACATTGGCCACAACAAATAATGTTTGCTCAAAGGTGGGAGGGAAAGGGGGGTTGGACGGAGACAGGCCCTCATTGGCTAAGGCCGGCTGGCGCATCCATTGTGGAAGAAAGGCTTGTTCTGTGTGTGCACAATGGAGACACTGTTCACAAGTACTTTGCCCATAAATAATCAGGTCTGCCTCTGCGTCGCATTACATAAGTCTGCAATGCAGTGAGAATCCAAGAATGGATTTCTTTCAGCGTCTATGCCTAAGAAATACACACTTGTAGTTCGCGCACACAGGCACACCAAAGAGTACAGGCTCAGGATGAGATTTAGAAATCAGCAAAACAGACCTTTATAAATTGTTAGAAACAACCACCTCCAAGTGAGAGTGTAATGAACTCTGATTTCTCCTCCAATGCACACCCTTCAAATAAACAAAGGAAGTAGGTGGTTTTCAGTGTGTGTGTGTGTGTGTGTGTGTGTGTGTGTGTGTGTTTAGATTTTTCTGTGTGTATGGGTGGTCTATCTGTGGCTACATGCACATGTATGTGCAAGCATGCTTGTCCACGCAGGCACACATGGAAGCCACAGTTTCTATCTTCTTCAATCACTCCTCCATACCATCATCACCATCACCATCATCACCATCACCATCATCATCATCACCATCATTGTCATCATCATCGTCATTACCATCACCACCACCACCACCATCATCATCGTCATCGTCATCATCACCATCATCATTTTGAGACAGGATCTCTCACTGAACCTAGAGCTCAACATTTGAGCTAGGCTGACTGGCCAGTCAGTTCCTCAACTCCAGGGAGCCTCCTCTGTCTATGTTCCCGCCACCCCACACCCCAGCACTGAGACTGCGGGTACATGATGTCAACACGGGTGCTGAGGATCTTAACTCTGGCCCTCATGCTTGCACCACGGCGGCAAGCACGTGACTGCCAAACCGTCTCCCCAGCAGCCCCTTGTGTTGTGTTGCAGTTTTCTAATTTCACAGAACTGCTAAGTAAAGGAGATGACATCCCTTTTCCTGAGAATTCTGAGGGATCCAATGGCTTGCTTGAGCCTTTACGCTCCCGTCACTTGGTGCCACAGGAGGTGGATCCAGGCTGAGTGGCGGCAGCAGTGACCCTAACCTCTGGCCACCAGATGCCAGTAAAATGTCTCCAAGACAGGCCATCTAAAACATCAACAAGTGCTGACAAATCCCCCTGAAGACAGGACAAATCGCCTGCGCTTGAAAACCACCTGAGAAGCAGCAGTTTGTGCCCACCCCCCCACCCCCACAACATTCCTTGGTGTCCAGTGCTTCTAATTCACAGTAGACACTGAAGGAGGGCTCAGCACAGCTGGAAACATCTGCAGCTGGGTATGGGGCTGGATACTGCCACTTGGCCTCACTGGAAGCTGAACACAGCCAGTAGTTTCTTCAGTCACAGGAGCTGGCCCAGGGAAGCTGGCATCCCAGGGGATTCTCCTCCTCCTCCTGGAAGGCGGATGTTGCCATGCCATTTCACAGATGGGAGAGAGGAGGCCCCCAGGGGTGCCAGCACCTACCTCCAGCCTCCTGAGCCCCTGAGTAGAAAATTCCTTTGCGGGGAGAGGATAAGCTAACGGAAATGGCTCAGAAACAATTCTTAGTTCTCTCTCACACACCAAAGATGGCGAAAACTCCTCTTAGGAATAAGTGGTGTCCTCTACTGTGATCTGCTTCTCAGTTGAGGGTCCCACAAAACCTCTTCCTATGCACCGCTCTCCAAGCTTCCTTCTGTGTTGCTGATGGCTGTGGCGTGTGTGCATGTGTGATGCCTGTGTATTTAATTCATGGGTGTGCACATGTTCATGTCTGTGCACTTGCACGTGGGAGAGAGCACACACACCGATTGTGCATGTAAGAGCCAGGTGAGTGCCGGGTGTTTTCTCCGTCACTCTCCTCCTTAAGTTTTTAAGCAGCTAGCTGGGTAAGCCAGTGAGCTCTAGGGACCCATCTGTCACTGTCCCCTCGAGCGCCCCACAGCGCCAGGGGTCACAGGCCAAGTGTTACACAACTGACTTTTACATGGGTGCCGGGACCCGAGTTCAGGTCCTCATGCTTGCAGAGCAAAACTTTATATTCACTAAGCCATCTGCCCAGCCCCTTCAGCTTTATTTGAAGAAACTACAGGTCCTTTCCAGGAGCTGCTAACATGCCCAGAGAAAAGTTAAACCATCTTCCCTCCACCGCGGAAGACCCAGAAGAGAAAACCCTGAATGATTAAAACCTTTCCGATGTGGGAAGCTGTTCCCAAACCCAGCCGGCCAGCCTCTTCCGAGCGTGGTGCGGCAGCTAACAGCATCGAGCTCCAAGCTGGTTGGCTGGGGTTCTACTAACCCTGCAGGCATTTTTCTCCTTTCAAAGTTTCTATTAACTCCCTACTGATGTGCCCTAAAAGAATTTTTAAGGGCTTGGAAACACATAAATAAAATAGTCTTTGTTGGACCAGCACAGCCAAATGAAAGTATTTCACCTGTGTAGCAGTGGTGATAAAAGTTTTAGGCCCGGCTTTCACAGAAGTCATCCGAAGACTGAGATGAGCCTGGAGTTCCCAGACCGTGTGTAGCAGGAGCCCTCTTGCCCTCCAGTACATGCCAAGGGCAAGGTAGGGAAGAGAGAGCGGGCCCACCATACACCCAGGGTGCAGGAAACGTCTCCCCACCCCCAAGTACCTGCACTCAGGGCAGTGGGGTGGGGGAGGCTCTGGAGGAACCCTAGTCATGTCTGCTGGAACTCAACTCATAGGGAGCTAAAGACGCCAGGGGACCCTCAGAGAGTGTGGCGCAGGGGTACAACTGAAAGGTGGAGGTGGCGGATGGAGAGCAGAGGGGACTCCAGAGGAGACGTGGCATGCAGGCACACCAGATCCCTGGAAAGAGAAGTGCCTGTTCATCCCGAGGCTACACGGCCAACCTTCAGCAATGAGCCGCATGCGCAGAGCCCGGGAACCCGTGCAGCAAGCTGTGTGTTCTGTGCCTTCTAGCAGAATGAGACTTCCAGCCTCCCCTCTGGGCCCGAATGATGGTTTGCCAGCAGCACTGCCAAGGCCATCCTAAGCAAACATCGCAGCGCACACCGTCCAGGAAAACCATCATTCTCACACCACTTGGCAGCTTAAATAGCACTGGCGACTTGCTACGAGCCATTCGTCAACTCTGGGCCGCCGGTAAACAGCGGGCTCTCAGGGATGCCACTCCAGCTTCTCGAGGTCTAAAGAGTCCTCGCCTCGATGGGGAAGAGACCGGCCAGACTGTGCCAAGCCCTCCCGGTCACTCAAGGGTAGACAAGTGCTCCTTGACTTACCATGTCAAAAATGTGTTTAATTCAGAGGCTTCTTTGGCAAGTATCGTGTGCCCCCCCCTCCTTGCCTGCCTGAGGTGTGCTAGAACGCCTCCGTTAGCCTACGATTGGGCAAACTCTTCTAATACAAAGCCGACTTTACCATAAAGTGTTGTCTACTTGTCTGTCACTCATCAAGCACTGGCCTGAGTTAAAAACAAAACAGACACAAGGGAACGTTTTCACACCACTGGGAAACAAAACCTATCAAAGTCAAGACCACCTCTACTGGCCTTTGCCAGAGGCCCCCAGCCTCTATCCATGCGGGTCTTTTTCCTTCTTCTTCCGGGGAAAGTTCCAGGCACCCGGCAATAAATCAGCACCCACAGGCACTATTCTCACCTAAGTGGGTGACACTCCTTGACTTAAAAAGCAGGAGCCTGTGCCCTGTTCGCAGAAGGAAAATGGAAAGAAAGAGGAAGCGAGACTCACCACAGATCTGAAAGGCTGT